AAAAGAAAAATTGTAGTTTTGAGTACATCTATCAAGACAAAACTTTTATTAAACTGCTAAGGATGAAACAATTCAAAACACTAATTAATTCTTAGTTTTTGTTTAAAATGATTCCATAGTAACGATAGTTTACGGCTTAAGGAGAAGCAAATATAATGTACGAGTAGCACTTATGGAGTGTTTAACTGACGGACTTAAACACCATTGGTGAACTAACGATCTTCTAACATTACCATGATGCATAATCATTAGCGTGTATCATACATAATAACACAAAATACATGAAGATATAGCACAATCTAGGAGTGTTTAACACATAACTCAACATTTATTGAAAACTTCCGTCCTTTATAAGATAGGTTAAGATTATTATGGATTTGTCGTCTTTGTCTGGCTGGAGTTGCTACTCAGTATTAGAAAGACAAGTGCCTCGATTTCTTCATCCGGGTCGTGCTCTTCAATTGATTATGGTGTATATTCCACGTGAGTATTACGAACGTCAAACGGATAGCCACATGGAATGGTCACCACAGTCAATCAAGTCTTGGAATTTTGGAAGTATCAGGGCACCCTTCAGTATGAGAAAAGAGAATCGGAGCAACTCTCGAGTAAAAAGAATACACATATATATAACATCAGTGGTATATCTGCAGTGGGGCACCGCAGCTGTCCTCTCTCATCCCCACTCAACCCCTATATATATTTAATTTATAATTATATTCGTGTTTGTATGCTTAATAAGAATCTATATCTATATGACTATATCTATATCTATATAATCTATATAATATAATAAAGCAATCCCCTAAAGAACACCTTAGAGGAATTATTGACGTGTGGCAACATCTTTGTAGAAAAAATGACATGTGGCAACACCATAAATGAAACACTATCCAACTTCCAAAACTTCACTCTAATGTATTCTAATAATATATTATGTTATATATTAATTTATATAATGTCTCCTCTATTGTCGTGTGTTGTTTTAATTAAAAATAATTGGTAACTTTAATTAAAAATATTATTAAATCATTGTTATATTAAATTTGATAACTATTAAATGGTATCTAGCAAAATCACTTATTGTACAAAAATAAAAATACAATTAGATCTTTTGAGTCAATATTTGTAAACAATGATTATTAACAGTTCAAAAAAGGTTGTAAAATAATAAGTATTTTAGAATATGATTTTGGTAGTGTTGGTACACGGGTCTAATTTCTGCTCGAGATCCGTCGGTCGATAATATTCTGATAATTGGTGTTTTTTCAGATGGTGCTGGTTGTATATGGGAGAGCTCCACAAAGCAGTCGGCGGGAAGGCTAGAATTGATGGGAAGCGCATTTAGTGCACTAGATGTGGGGGATTTTATGGTTGGGAATTATCCGCTGAGGGCTCGACACATCATCATGTACACCTATTACATTGTCGTACACTCCCATTTATTACATTATAAAGAGTTGACAAACTTGCATACTATAGTTGGACTTTGTTGGACTTTCGGACCGCGAGAACTTAACCTCAACCGGTGGTAAAGAATTAATATTGAAGACAATGAAATTCAAAAATATATATTTGTATTTTGGACAACTCACAACATGCATGTGTCAACCCACTATAGATACATCTTTCAAAATCAGTCAAAATCCACAGGGCTAGCCCGTTTCATACAAACTTAATGTGCCAGATGAAAATGTAAAATAATAATCAATTTCATTTCCAACCTACAATACAACAGTCAACTAACACTTTTTTAACTATTATTTTATCTAATAATATTTGAGTATGTATTCATTTTTGTATTTTCTATTTAAAGTATAACGTATATCATCATAACACAAACTGAAATATTTGGCACGAGATTGAGGCGTTTATCCATTTTGTGTATTTTCCCTTTCATTTTCTTTAAAGTTTACTTTCACTTTTTGTTGGAAAAACTTAATTAAGACTAACACCGTGCGACACACGGGTGCACATACTAGTAATATAATAAAGCAAACACCTAAAGATCTCTTTGAAGAAGTTGTTGACAATGTGGCAACACTCTTTATTGGAAAACTAGACATGTGTCAAAACTATAACAAACTCCACTCCCTATTCATATATACTCCTTAACATTTATCTAAAGTGCACAACAAAACAATATAGACACAAACATACACATGTATATACAACATTTATAAGCATTCAGTGGAGGACCTAGGGGGGCAAGTGCCCCCGCTTTCGACCCCGAAATTTAGTATTAGTACTTATAATCAGGGGCGGAGCCAGGACACTGAGTCAGACTGGACCGGTACAAAGAATATTTTTGGGGAAAAAATTACACGGAATTTTTTACCCTATAAATTTAGACATTTTTAAAATTTTGGCTGGGCCAGGGCCAGGGTTGGCCACCCGGCCCTATCTAAGCCCCTGCTTATAATAAAATTAGTGCCCCCGCTTCTTGATATAAAATTATGACTATTAAATATGTAATAATTCTGTCAAAAAGCATATGTAAATTGTTGTAAGACATTTAAATGATTACGGAGTTATGATGAAGCGGTTTCATACAGTTAGACGTGTTCTTGACGCAGTCATTCTTTGAAATAAAAGTGGTATTGGTGGTTATTTTTTGTGAAGTATGAAATATCTTTTTTCAAAATTAGAAGTCAACGCATAACGAGACTTCTAATATGTGTGGTGAGCTTAATGGATTTAAATTATCATTAATGAAATTGCATACCCAAGACATGCATATTCAATGTTTTCTTACCAATTACAATTAGTTGTCGTGGCTATTGCACCAAAAAAACAAGTTTGTGGATACTTTAGTTTGTTTGGATATTTATTCATGATTATGTTACTACAATGCCGGGATCCTCTTGTAAAATAAAGGGTGTATTACGACAAAAACAACATGATATCATAAAAGAGTTATTAGAAAAGGTGTAGTAGTAGTAACAAACAAGAGATTGAATCAAGAAATGGTAGGTTAGCTAGCTCGACCAGGAGTTATATACTAATGTTCACAATTTAATCCCATGTTGATGAAGGCGGTTTGGATACAGTAATTCTGTGGCACGGCATGTAACGTCAGACATTATCCCAGAAATGGTCCCAGGATGATTCACTTCTAATTCATATGAAGTACGGAGTATTATGTTCTTCTTTCAAGATAATGAATATTATTATTTACAATTATTTTAATGGGTTGGAAACTAGACCCGTTGTACATAGATGTAAATCATTTGAAACTGAAATAGAATAACTTATTTTTGTTTACAAAAATGTCTACACGTTGAATAGATTAGTCTCACATCCGACCCGGCCCATCTTCGTCCATATAGTAGTGCCCTCACTTGAGAAAAGTTTTAGGTCCGCCACTATCCATGATAATTTCTGAATACACGACCGTATAGTATGATGAAAGTGAAAAGAAAATTGATACTTTGTATATGCCGGCATGCCGCAGGTGAGAGGAGCAATTTCTTAACGCCCATTCTTCTGGCCAAATTCTGGGAGTAGTTAAACCGTTGAACCAATCAATGGAAGAAAAGTTAGAAATATAAGGATGTTTTCTTTTGGACTGCTTTCAGTTTTAGACCAGACTAGATCAGATCACACCAGATCAAACCATACCAGATCAGACTTCCGTAGTTATGAAATACACAGAAATCAGAGGTTTACCAGACCAGACCATCAAATTTCAATCCAAAAGAAAACATCCCAAGTATAATTGATTCATGAGTTCCCAACAGTTGTATCTTTTTATTTCTCTACTAATGAGTTCATGAGTGTGGATCACAGAGTAGATTGTCATACACACGAGGAGCAGAACTGTAGAGGTGTGGTTTTCTAAATCTCACGGGCAAATGAGAAAGATTACAAGAAATCATCCCAAAAAAACTTGGTCAAAAAGAAAGAATTACAGAACAGTTTGAACTCCAACATCACAGTACTGTTGAAAATTCTAAAACGTCATTGCCATATACTGATACCATTACTCCGTATAATTCAACCTTACTTTGAAAATATCATAAGACAGTGATGATGTGATAAAAACCATCAAGCCCATACAATGAAAACCCAAAGCAAGCTCACATATCCATTGACCACAAAATAAAGTAACCAAAACATAACCTTCATATACTTTGAAGTGAGATGAGCATAAGGAGTGATTACAATGCTCAAATATTCCAATTACACAACAACTATCGTCAAGAACAGCTTCACCACTAGGGACAGATTTCTTAATTCATGTTGTCTGAAGAGTGGTTATACTATAGCGCAAAGAAATAGAGGGTTGGCTAAATGGGGAAAAAGAAAGTTTACATTAAAAAAATTCAGAAAAAAATTCTGTTTCCATAACTTCAACACACCATAGACCTAATGTAGGTTCCATCTAGTGTAGGATCGTCTATGGAACCACATTCAAGTCTAGAATCTCAAAAAAGAGAGAAAAAAAATCAACATAAGGCGCAGCTCATATCCAACCTAAATAAACACTCTAAAAAAAAGACATGAAGCTATTCAATAAAGACCACAAAGCTGAATAACACATTAACCTCAAGGCTCAAGCATGACTCATGAGTACTCAAGTCCTTTTTATCCTTCAATATTTCAATCCATAAAAACACTGCTCACATACAAATAAATTCCATGCTTAATGGCTCCAGAAAAAATGTTAAGAAAGCACATAAAATAACATGCCATTAGACAGCTCTTAAATAAATAAACGAAGAAATACTGCAATAAAATTATACCATCACCCTGTTTTTGCTGGACGAATCAAAACCAAATGGAACACACTAAAAGAAAGAAAAGAACATTCTCAAATATCTGACTACACAGTATACACAAACTAATTAAAACATTCAAACCTTGAACTCAGAGAGCTAAGAAGTGAGTGTACCAGTGTACCTACGGGCATTATAATTTTATCATGTTTTCCTTCACCAAAACTACAATGAAGTACGACTTGAACAAAAAATGATAACTGAAATGCACAAAAACGATAATTACACCACACAAAGTTCATGTCCAAAATAAACAAGACGTAAGTATCATACATCATTATGTCAATGTTACTAGGATGAACCTGACACCAAATGCCACCTCCTGAAAAGAAAACCCATATTCTTAAAGGGGAAATGCTACAATAAAATCAATTGTCTTTTCTGAGAACCAAGAAAACATAAAAAACTTGAAGAAATATTGAGAACCAAGAGAAAACATTAGAGCCTTTTGCACCAATTTTCGTGCTTTTCCCTCATCAAAATTTTTAAAACTAAATTGCATAATAGCACAAGCAAAGTTCATATCAAAGATAAAGCATGAAGCTATTATACCACAATACATGCTAGATAAGCACATTAACTTCAACTCTCAGTGATAAATCCCTCCTTTCGCCCCTCAAATCCAGGCCTCATGAGCTTCTTTTCTCTTTTAGCTATTTTCCTAGACTTTTTATCCTGGATTCGCCCTGAAATGTTCTCCTTCCTCTTATGTTGTCTCTCTTCCTTCAACTTCTCTCTACTTTCTACCCTTTCCTTCCATTTTTCAGTGCTCTTCTCTTTTCTCTTCTTCTCCTTCTTCATGCTCTCCTTCAAAAGCTTTGGATCATTGTGAACCTTTATCCCCATTGCCCTTTCCGCGGCAGCTTTCCATGACTCTTTCTCTGCCACCTTTGGGTTCTCCTTCTTAACCTCTTCCAATTTCTTCAACCTCTCCAGCTCTTTCTCTTTCGGTATCTTTTTCTTCTTCTTCCTCTTTCCGAGCTTCTCATCATCCCCAATCTTTACTTTCCCGTATTCAATTTCACTCAGATCTAAGCAGGAATTAGCTACACCGCTGCCAGTCTTTCCAGTATTCTCCTCTTTGTCAACATCCCTTTTTCGCTTCTTCCCTTCCGACTTCACAAAACTTCCATCCTCGACATCCATTTTCCTCTTAGATCTCTCGCCTGTACCTCTATTACCTCGGAGGGCCTCGATTTTCCGGCGGAGCCTCAGCCGCAACTCTTCATATGTAACAGAACGGTCATCCGTATTCTCCTTTTTATCATTTTCGCCCAAATCGACGGGTTTTGCGTTGTCTGAATCGTCCACATTCTTCTGCTTGTCGATGGATTCTTTGAGGAGGTCGAGAGTTGAAGATTGCGCAATCTTCTGTTCCGGGTCGAGCCGGTTGCGACGGGCGAGTTTGATGTTCTCCCTAGACTGCCGTTTAAGAGATGCCTTTTTCGCTTTGGACAAGCCTGGGTACCATGGCTTGGAATCCTCCTCGCTTGGGAGGTAGTATTTGGGTGGGATCAGATTAACGAGATTGTCGAAGAAGATGCTATTAGACCGGATGAGGGCTTTTAGGTCAGCACCGGTTGGGGAGATTGACGACGCTTCGACGGCGGTAGACCTTTGTTTCTTCTTCATGATTGGGGCGAAGCAGGAAGACAATGCTTAAAAGTTCCTCCATATATTTTAATAAAGAGGGCTTCTTTTTTAAAATGGTGTTTGGGTTGGGTCTTTGGGACCTTGGGAGTTGGGACTGGGCTTCTGTACAGTAAATTAGCCGATGGGCTAATGTTATAAAAACATTCATAGTATTCGAGCAAATTGAAAATGTGCAACAAAACTATAAAAGTGCTTTATTGTGCATCACACCGATTTAAATGTGAGTATTCTTGTGTTCTCATGTTAAACATCGTTCTCATTAGAACCACACTCTATATATATAATCAAATTATTATGTAAAAAACATTATTAAATTCTATCAAGATGAATTTCCAAAATAATTTTTTTTATGTTTACTACTACGTATAACGTATTTAAATAGAATTATAGTCAAATTTATGCGCTAGTAAACATGAAAGTCAAATTTTTGCAACTATTAAAGAACAACTGATGGTATATAAAGAGCCTATTTTGTACTTTTGTTTGTTGCTTTGTTTTTCAGTTTCATCTTATTCAACTTTTTCATTAAACACATGATTTTTTACTTGATGTGTTGAGTTGTGAAATGATCTAAATAAGTAAAGTTGAAATTACTTCTTGGTTTGATAAAAAACATTTCATATATTTTTTCTTTTATTTATTAATAAAATATATTTTAATTTTTTCATAATTCCACAGAATTACCAATTCATATACTTCAACCAAAATTTTATAAATTTCAACAGTATTTAATCAATTTTAGTATTATCAAATGATTAAAAGCTCAGTAAAACCTCTATTTACAATTCTTTATACGGAGTATTAATTAATATTCAGCCATTTTTTTCTTTCTGTATTATGACTAAAGCCAAGCGCAGAATCTCTTTGCTCGCACTTGCTGTCATCAACCATCCAGAGTATCATTTACGGTGCCTCGACAACGGTGGCGATCACACCGGTCGGAGAAGGTCGTTCCCGGCGAGCTCTGTGCTATGCTCGAACGAGAGTATTAATTAGTTGAAGTGCCACCGGAGATTCGACATCTGAAACAAAACCAGATGATACTGTTGCAGTCCCACTCCAGATACCTCCTCCAGATCTTGTCTACACGCGCTCAAAAGTTCGTAACGGCGGTTCAATTTTATCTTGTCTTTTTTCAATCTTAAGGATATCGTTAATTGAATTGAAGCCATTGGGTCTGATAATTGTATTGAAAAGCGGCTGTAAATTTCGGTACAGCTTTAGAATCTTATTTCATGATCACTCTTGTTATAAATGATACGCCGAAGTTGCTGAATAATCTCGTCCAAGTACATACTCCGTATTATATTGAATGAGTTATACTTATTTTTGTATTTCTAGGGATGCTGTGTAACGGGCATCCGGTAGTACAAAGTTTTTTTGTACAGTGTAAATTCCTAAATGCCTATTTACGTGCTTGACTTTGCAGCCTTGATAAGGGTGTTGAACTTGATTGCCTATGGGTTGAATTTGGTGATATTCGGTTCCACATTCAGGTAAGTTGCAGAGGGGGGTCTTCTTTTAACAGAGTAACCTAGCTGAGCCTGTAGTATAAGCTCATTTATCGGCATTCAAATCAATTATTAAGATTAATAATTTTGCATACACATTATGTCATTTAATGCTGAAAGTTTGATGAATTAACGATTCTGCAGGCTTCAACGAGGAATTCAAATATCTTGCTACTTTCAATGTCTTTACCAATACCTCCTCCTGAAACTGTATTCTTTGGGGGACTTCCTCTTGGAGCAATAGAAGCCATAAAGGCTAGATATGGAGTGGTTGCACAAATTCTAGATCCTCCAAGAGATGGCTTTAATCTCACATTGAAATTGAATTTGTCCAAACTTCCTCCAGATGAAGGTTCTGCAAGTTTCTCTTTAAGGTCATTATGACTTATAAGCTTGTCATAATTGTACTGTAGGACACTTCCCCACCCCAAACTTCTTTTGACTATGCTTAAAGATCAGTGTAATTTTTGTTTTAAACCTTCCAATATCTGCATGTATATTCTTATTGTAACTATTTTTTTTTATTACAGAAGATGAATTTTCAGGCTTACTTTAGAAAGTGTATCAACATCTTTTGTTAACACTTCAGAACCATATATCAGTAACAGATTTGATGAATGCAGCAAATAATTTTAATTGGCTATACTAGATGTAATTGTGTTTGGTGGAGACTGAAGACATGCTATTTTTGTGCGAAGTGAAAAAATCTCTCTGAGATGCACTATAGACTGTCTGTCATTCTATGACTTATTTCTACTTAGTTCTGTGTATGGTTGCCGGGAAATGATGATTCCATATTTGTTAGTGTATACTAGACATTATTAGTACAATTGTCATATTGCATAGACAGGGGGGTTGTATATGTGTACCTGTACATGTATACTGACCCACTGAACAAAGCATCCAAATTTCTGGAATCATCCCTCTATAAGTTCTTATATATCAAAACATTCCTGTGCAGCTGTACTCATTCTATAAGTAATTTGCCGATGCTATAGACTCTCATTCTTTGATATTCATATCTTATATTCCTTGGATGTGCTCATTTCTAAAAGCTAAAGTTTACAATTGTTCATTGTAGATCACAAACATCATTTGTTGGTAAGTATTGCAGCTGTAAGGGAAGTGGTAATGGGGGCCCCATTAAGAGCAGTTCTGAATGATCTAGCTCTGAGGACAGTTCCTTCTGATACAGAGAAGGTTATTGCTCTTGTTCATCGGCCAAATGAGTCTTTCTTCCTCTTACCCCAGGTGAAAATTTTGGCTCAATATACATATACAATATTATACTATTTCTAACAATTCACTAACATAAAATATTCTATATCTTTTCATGCCAAAGCATGCATTTAGTTATTCAGTGTCTGGTATATTCAAACCATTTTTTTTTAAAAAATGGGGAGGTCCAAGCCCATGAGAAGGGGATGTTTGAACCAATTGGTATGGTTTGACCCCTGAATTGTGTGCGTGTGTTTCTACTTTCTTTATATATTTCCACTAGTGCAGATTCCTATTGGATGCTAATCGTGCAGGGGACGAATATATAAGGAACCTAGGGTCTGTTTTTTCTTTCTGAATTTAGATCAATCTAAGTCATGCAATGTCTGATTGGGTGTACTAGATTATGTATTGTATCATAGAATATCAGGATATTTTGAGCCTGTAATCCATTTCAGCCAAATTTTAGTTTGCAGCCCATTAAGGGCCATTTTCAAAATAATTAGTTGTTGCACCTCGAAGTTCAAAAAATCTATTAATAATGATGGGGGTGCAAACTCCAATTTAGAAGAAAAATGGGATGCAAACATTAATTTTTAGGGTGCAAATGAAAATTATTTGGAAATAGGGTGCAAGCTCCAATTCTATCTAAATTTCATCTATTTATCACTTTGCATTTATTTACATAGTTATATATTTGTTTATGTGCTACCTAACTCCTGGATTGCCCCTTGCCCTGAAGGGATTGAGGTTATATATGGCCAACACTGCGCACCTTCTCTTCTGAGAATACTTACTTTTTTGCCTTTTGGTGCTCCCCCATTCTGCGGCCTAAATCTTTAAGGATATAAATTGTGGCCTGGAAAGGATTTCTCAGTATAATGTGTGTTTATTTATTTCTTTATGTGAGAGTGTATGTGCTTAGTTATTTAGTTATAACTTATAAGTAAGTCTCTACAATGATTAAAAAAAAGTAAGTCTCTACAATTTCTTGTTGAACCTTCTAGTAGTATTACCTACTTAATAACATTCTCTCTCACGCGCCATAAATCAAATAATTAAGTATGTCATGACATGTTGGGAAGAATCATGTGCATATTTTTTTAAATGACAAACTGCAATTGCTTGCTGCAGGCAGAGAACGTAACTGCGATATTTCCGATGAGGTTCAATGACTCTATAGATACCATTCTTGCTACGTCTTTCCTACAGGTAATTGTATGATCTAATTCAACAAATTTTATTTCCTTCTATGTTATCTAATCCCAAAGATAGAGGAAGGGTCACTGCCAACAAGTCCTGTCCAGTTTCACCTTCAATTTAGTGTGACATAGTTACCTTTGGTGTGTCGGAGCATGTACATCTATGTATATCTGAACAGCACATTTCAGCAAACCATTACCGGGCTATTAATTTATAATTAGGAATTTGTGGAGGCAAGGCGAACTGCTGGACTACACAATGCCCCTCCCTGTTTTTGGTCACCTTCTCTTCCTCAAGAGCTGGAAGGTGTTGTTAATGAGGCATTGACAGCTAATGCTGGATATTTCAGTTTTGGTAATATTAGGAATTTAAATTTGTTCTTTCCATATGCATCCTTTATTACAGTGACATATGTTTATGCATCTTGTTTGTCAGCAGTCATTTTCCCACGTCATGTGGAAGGACAGAAACTGGATAGGACTGTATGGAATCTCTCAAGCTTTCATGCTTATGTGAATTATCATGTTAAGGTAGGATTTCTGCTACCAAAGTCATTTATTCTTTATTTCCACATCACTTCCTTCCCTGGACCACTTCCTTCTACCTTATTTTGTGCTCCATGGCTGGATTTATTATTATTATTACGGAGTATTATTTATTTATTTATTAGTGGGGAGTCTTACTTGGTAGACTAATGGATTTGTCTCCATTATCTGCTTTAGGTTTTATCAGTCCAGACACATGATACTACATTTTATGTTGTAGTTTCAACTGTTTATGAAAATTAAAGTTCAGATATCTCTACTACTTGTCTTTTGATTTGAGAGTTAAAAAGTTATCATTATAACTTGGAGGTGACTGCCCAAAAATAGTATAGGAATTAATTTGCTTCTTGATTAAAAAATATCCAAACATTAGGAGAAATGAAACAGATGCTACATTAGTTGTAATTTGCAGCAGCAACACCAACAACATTACCCCAGTGCCACAAAGAGACCGTTTCTGGATGACCCATGATGAAAATTGCGTCGAAAATTGCATGTATTGATTGTTGCTTCATAACAAAGAAGCACAAATAGTTAAGTGAGCCATTTTGCTTTATTCCAT